GTCGTCGTCGTCTAGGAACAGTCCAGAACCACGAAGCATAGAGTGGACACGTTCGGAATTTATCAGACGGATCGCCATGTCAGTCGGGTCAAGGAGTCCTGTTTCACTCGGTTCTCATCCTCTTCGACATCCGATCGCATCTTCCATCTGTATTCCATCGTATCTATCGCCGTCCATCTACGTATCCTTGTTTATCTCTTAAATCATCTTCGTGCTGTTTACGCTGTCGCGACGATCATGCCGCGATTCGCGTACGACGGAATGATGCGTCAGGCCTATCGGGTACAATTGACCTTCGGGGAAATTGACTATTAATACGGGGCACTCGAGACCATCGCTATAAATTCCGAACTGTTTTAAGGAGATACGTTCGATTCAGACGCGGCTGATATAGCTTGGCGATTTCGGGTCGTTCTTGTTAATCGTTGTTGAGTTCCACACACACATTGTATCAGTAGTTAAGCCCCCCCCCTCCCCCCAAACACCTCCTAACTTTCGAGTTACAGACGATTAAAGCGGTTCCCAATGAAACGCTTTAATTTGGACGGATGGAAAGCTCGGGCAGCTTTTGGCTATGTAAATGGCGGACAATGGCCTTTAACCCAAACCCGATTCTACGGACCAGATCCGCCGATATTGCAATCCCCCACTCCAACGTCGCATAATTAATTTTTGTCCATCGATATTCCGGGTTTGTAACTCTTTTCACGGAGGGGGTGGCCGGGAGGGCATGGGTGGGGGGGAGATCGACGGCGGCGAACGTTAATATCGCACCCAGCTCCGGGTTATCGGTTTTTCTTTAAAAACGAGATCTGAAATATGGAGGACATAACTGCTGGCATATATTGGACCCGGTTGGTGCCCTACCAGAATTCATATCATAAGGTAGATAGAATATTCGGCGGGCGAAACAAAACGCTCGTCTAGCGGATCCCTTTCCCTCGCATTTTTACATAACTTGCATCCTTGAATTGACTTCGAAAATGGAACGTTTGAACACTTGTAAAATCAAATTCTCCTTGGTAGTGCTTTTTGCATTTCAATTGTCTTCTATAATCTTTCATATCGAATTCGACGAATGTTCCGTAATCCGACGTCTGGCGATCGATGATAAGTGATCGTTTCTACAAAAAAAAAAAAAAAAAATAATGAAAAGGAACAAGAAATGCTGCAGTTCTTGATGAACGTGTATGTACTTAAATTCCACGCGCTGGCAGACGACGACACCGTGAAAACAATAATGATCCTCCTAAAAACATCGACGCGGCTATATCCACCCGCGTTAATTCACGAAACGATCGCCCGAGACACGATTCACCACTCGAAATAATTTTATCTCGCCGGTAAGTTTACCCGTAAGTAATGTATATTTTTCTCCGTATACCCTTTGCCGGATGAGGCGTCACGTTTTTTCTTATCTTCGATGCGACTTCCTCTCTTTCGTGGATGAACGCTGCGGCATTTGCAATGACGCGTGTGTCCTACGCCATTTTATCCGTCACTTGAAAAAAAAAGAAACAAAAGAAAAGCTGAAAAAATACGATACTTTCGAGAATTCTGACAACAACAATAACAAAAAAAAACGAGTCGACGCGTCAAAATATATGTATTTTACGACCGTTTGTATTGACGTACGATAACGTCCACCACTTCCGGCAGATACGATTGGACAAAATGTGACAAAACCGAAGCACATGCATACCTTTCTTGACGGTAAAACCAAAATGACACAATGAGCAGAGGAAGTCGAGCCTTTCCTTTTTCGAATTTCTAATCCTCGTGACGACTCTTTTTCGATTGATGTATGTTCGTAACTTTTTACGCACGATGTAAACGCACCTCTAACGCAAGGACAAACCCCTTTTTTCATCCGTGTGATCTATTCAAAAATGCGAACGCAACCGTCACATGTTTCTCAAAGTGTTTTGAGGATATATTATATATATACTAATGTACTTAAACCATCTGTGAGTCTGCCTCGTCTTTTATAAAGTTCTTGCTATATTCAACTGATGGTGGTTCTTATTTCTCCTTTCCTAACCTCGTGTAACGAAATAAACAGTCCTTCCATCGAACTGTTTATATACATATATGTTAGGTACATTGTAACCTGTCCCTCCCGTAAGCCAAGCTGATCAACTTCAGTTTCTAAAAATTATTTTTAAGTGTTTTACATGTTGTAATATGAAATCTATTATTTATGAATTTTTATTTATTCGTTAGCAAGACATGTGTATCTTGCAAATGCTGGATATTATATTAATGTACCTACTGCACACTTAAATTCAAACAACTGTTCCGTTCAATTCCTTTTATTACCAGCGAAAGTGTTTTTGATTTCCTTTAGTAGTTCGCGATTGTATCAAACGCACCGAGTTCTCGTAACAGTAAAACAAAACAATCACGAAATACCTGAATCTCACATCGATCACAGAAATACGAAACTCCAAGCAAAAAGTCCAAACATCCTGTGCAAACGATTGGCAGCAATTGACCATGTACAATGACAAATTCTTGTACTGACTCGAAGAAATGGAAGTTATCATCTTGCTGTATTGAAAATAGAAAGGACAAGAAGCAGTACCTATGAATTCAAATTGGAAATAAACTGTCACATAACGATAGTTTACATTAAACATGACAGTATTTTTTCTACTCGATTGGGACATAGTATGGTGAGTGTGGTATAATCTAGTTAACGTACCGTGTATCCGCCAATGTATTGATAACCTCGATAGAAACTTGACAACTAAATATATATGTATGTATTTACTCAGAATGGGGATTCGCGGCGCGTTAATTATTGAGAACGGCAGTTGTGCCGCGGCTGTCAGCCGCTTTGCATGTGGGTCGTTGGTCGTTTTGCTGCAGATTTCAATGCGTTGTCTCAACGGTTTTTTTTTACCACGTTGATCTCTTGTGCACGCAGCCGCGAGTTTCAAACGTGCCTTGCGCATCCATAGAAAATTAAAGTCGTTGAAAATCGTCTTGCGACTGTCCTTCGGTGATAGGTTATGTTTTATACGAAGAAGCGGCAGAACAATATCTTGAAACGGCGCATGAAACCTCTTCGAGCCTGCTAAACAATTCTGGAACACATCCACCTGAAAGAAGAACCAGCTACGAGTACTCTACTGCAAAACCGAATCAGTATTAAACTAATAGATAATCTCCGAATCAGAAAAAACAGTGTTCTTCTTTATTGAAACACATTTTTGATTCGGCTATCGTTGCGTAAGACAGTTTGAGAAGTATCAAATATAAGGAAATAAACGCTGTCAACTGCCTGCTCAATTGTCTAGCATAAGGTAAAACATTCATCGTGTTTTTGTTTAAAAAGAAGCAAAAACAAAAACGGCAAGAGAAGGGGATAAAATAGAAGGTCGGTCGACCTATGTGGAACTGTTGTTAATAAACGACAAATCACCAAATATGTTGAGCCAAAAATTAAGTAACAGAAAGTTGATAGTCGACCTGCTTGCACTGATGTTTGGTCTTGGTGCATGGGTTGGTGTCAATGGCATATATGTTCAACTACCTCTTCTGGTGAACAGTGCTCCAGAAGGATGGAGTCTTCCAGCACATATGGTAGTCTTGGTACAATTTGCAAACTTGGGACCAATACTTTATACGTTGTATATAAAGTGAGTTATAGATATAATGTATAAGTTCTATATTAGTGATTATATTAGTACTGTTTTTCTTTCTTTATTTTAGGTACAATGCATGGGCATATGATAAATATATTACTTACATACTCTTAGCTGCAGCATCAATAGCCACATTTATCATGGCTTTTGTGTACAATAAAACATCAATAATATTTGGCAATGAGCACTCTACTGCTCTTTTGTCTCTGATGTTTGTAACAGCTATTGTCGGATGTACGAGTTCGGTTCTATTCATGCCATATATGAGGAACTATAGAGAAATTTATTTGGTGTCCTATCTTGTAGGAGAAGGGCTCAGTGGGTTTGTGCCTAGTGTGGTAGCATTAATCCAAGGTGTTGGTGGAAATCCAACATGTGTGAATGCTACTACATCAGAATCTTATTATCCGGAACCCAGATTCTCATCTCAGGCATTCTTCATTTTCGTTGGTAGCTTGTTATTCTTGTGTTACTTGTCCTTCTTGGGATTAAATAATTTGTCTGTAGCTGTTGGAGAGCGTGTCAAGCTCCCAGGAAGCATGGAGACATTACCAACAGACACAAGAGCACCACCAAGTTATAAAACTAATTCTGGATGGACAATGTCTACACAAGTGTATTCGTATTTATTAATTATGATGGCCCTTGTTTGTTTCTTAGGTAATGGTACATTACCAAGTATCCAATCATATTCCTGTTTACCATATGGGAATGTTGTGTATCATTTAACTGTTACATTGTCTGCAATGGCTGGTCCATTGGCAATGTCCTTAGGTTTTGTTATTAAAATACCAAAAGTAAGTTGTCTCAGTGCCTTGACGGCAGTTCTTATAGTACTTTCTGGTTTTGTGTGCTTTTTAGCTGCTGCATCGCCTACCCCACCTTTACAAAACACATGGATAGGTGAATTGCTAGTTGTTTTATCTTGGATTTTAATTAATGGTTTGATAGGTTTCATCAAATTAGGTATTACTACATTGTTCAGGCCTGATCCTGGCAGAGGTCTCTATTACACTGGTGTGGCAACACAAGTTGGCTCATTAATTGGAGCAATAGCTACATTTGTTTTGGTTAATCATGCAAGGGTATTTCATTCTTATTCTCCATGTTCAGCAATCAGTGGACATTGACACCCTGTATGAAAGCTTAGTAAATCTATTGAAAAATTATACGAGTATATAACATTCTATAAAAATTTAGCTGAAAGGATAAAATCTTTCTTAGTGCCTGCTATTAAAGATCATTGTACAGGGGAAAAAGAATTAGCCATTTGAAAAATAATTTAATTTTTCCTAGTACAGATTAAATATACAGAAGCAGTTATATATCAAGTGAGATATATGTATGATAATGCATTTCTACTTAACTTTTAATTATACATTTAAAAGGAATTTAATTTAATTCAAATCAATCAATGTACTTAAGGGAACCTTATATATTTCGGCACATATATTTGATATTATGAATTATATTTTTGACTGTCATAAATTATATTTTTTTACTGTTGTATGTACATTCAATACAGAGTACAAGTGTTATATAATCATTAGTTCTGCAACAGTGTTATAAAACGTTTGTCTTCTGTAGGAAGACAAAATATTTGATCATATTTCATCATAAATTTGAGTGTCATTTTGTCAATTAAAGCATACAAAGTTAATCTATGTTGGTGTTTTATCTGATAAATTTTATTGTTCGGATTAAGCAACAGTTGAAGGTAGACACTATGATTTCATTACATCAGTTTCTCTGGGCAGAGTGTAGTAAAAACTAGAACCCTAAGTTTTCTAAAATATCTTACTTGTAAGCTTTACAAGCTTTGAGGTGAGAATTTGAATTCTTATATAATATATGTATAGTGTATAAAAAGGAGATCTAATTAATCATCTGTTCAATTGCTTGTTGATCATTATTCAGGAATAAGTTCACGTTCTGGCTTTGTATACTTAAATGATAAAATGACAAATGTTTCACACAATTCAAAAGAAAGATGCAAAGGAAAAAATCAAATGATTGTGCATCTTCTTGTAACTGTATTTGGCATATCTACTTGGATTGGTATCAATGGGATATATGTACAAGTACCTGTGCTTATCAGTACCTTACCTGAAAGCTGGAATTTACCAGCTTATCTAGTACTAGTGATACAGGCTGCAAATGTTGGACCTCTACTTTATACCATATTGGAACATTTTCAATGGAAGATAAATGACTCCTGGTTGATACTGTGTTTGTTAGTTTCAGGCAGTTGTGCAATGTGTTTGCTAGTATTCTTCTATTCTGAAAAAACTGTTATAAATGGAAATGAATATAGTTTGTCATTATTCATTTTAACATTCTTCAATGCTTTAGTGGGATGTTTTAGCTCTGTATTATTTATGCCGTACCTTCGTAATTTTAATAAAAATTACTTGGTATCATTCTTTATAGGAGAAGGTTTAAGTGGTGTATTACCAAGTGTAGTTGCTTTATTTCAAGGAATCGTAGACATGTCTGAATGCACAACTTATAAAAATGATACCACAGATTTTTCTAAAGGGGGTTTAAAATTTTCTTCAAACGATTATTTTCTTTTCATTTTTATCGTCTTATTTTTATCTTTAACTGCATTTCTCATTCTAGAATATTCTTCATTAGCAGAAAATGTAAAAGATAGTCATAAGTTTGATAATACAGTGTCTAATGAAACTTCCAACGAGTTAAATAATACACACAATATTACAAATTTACCATTAGAAGAAACAAATAAGGACTTTGATCATTATAATAACGATAAGAAGAAGAAGAACTTAGTAACAAAAGTGCAATATTATTTATTTTTGCTATTAACTATTTGCTGCTTCTTCAACAATGGTTTCTTTCCTAGCATACAATCTTACTCTTGCTTACCATATGGAAATGTAGCATACAAATTATCAATTACATTGGCCCAGTTTGCAAATCCATTGGTATGTTTGTTAGCATACTGGTTTGTAGTCTCTGATATAAGAAGTATTAATTACTTATCTATAATATGCCTTGCATTTGGAAGCTATGTTACATACTTAGCATTAATGTCACCTACTCCACCACTGCAAGAAACGACGCTTGGCGTTTTTCTCGTTGTTTTGGCATGGACAGCTCTGACAGGCTTTATTTCCTATTTAAAATTGACTATTGTATCAGTACTTAGAAATACAATGCTACCCAAAATGCTCTTTAAAGCAGGAATATTTATGCAAATAGGATCTGCAAGTGGTGCTGTACTTACATTTGTGGCAATTAACTTCACAAATTATTTCAAAATGCATGATAATTGTAATTAATGAAGTAATATAATTATAATAGCTGTATGCACTGTTTTTGAGGACTGGTGATTGCTGTAACACTGTTAATGAATCATCTATTGAATACAGTCGTTTGTGTACAAAAATATGATCGCAAATTATCAAAATATTAATCCAAAAAAAAAATGATAGAACATATATGTTTCATATAAAATTAATATTTTTGTATTTGTACACAAGTGTCTGCATTTTTTAATACACTTATTGTCAATGCAGATAAAGAAATGATAATATAAAGACAATTGCAGATGTTGAATAAATGTTATCAATCTATGTGTGAAGAGAAATATTGCAAAATAATGCTGTGTAACTATCTTATTTTTTTCTTAAGTACTTATTGCCTTCCAATACAATGTACTTGAGATTCCATAAATCGACTGATTTAATATTGTTTCTTTGTCATGAAATAAGATTGTATACAATGACTATGAATATAAAAGTAATGTGCAAAATGTTACTTTGAAAATAGTATGTAACATAATATATCTGTTACTACGGTAAACGCCTAAATGTACTTTGTAAGTTATTGATTGTTAACTGATTTTTAACAACTGTTATACCAGAATGGTAAAAAAATTCGTTTGAGATACAAAATGCGTGCTGCGTTACGTAGACATGAAGCAATATTGCACATTGATCTGTACTTTAATAAACCGATTTATAATTCAGAATGTTGTTGCTTTATTAATTCGTAAAAATTATAGCTAAAATGAATGACTAGAAAAAGAAATTGTTATTCAAAATGGTGTTTCGAATATTTTTATTTCAAATTTCACGCAGCTCCGGTTGCCAGCCCTGTCTTAGAAGTGCTCCTGAAATGCATTAAACGGAGGTCGTAAGTGAGTCATGCGCGCTCATACAAGGCTACATTCAGCTACATTGAACACGAGAACTAAAACGGTAAATAACAACGTCGTTAAAAAAACAACAACTGTCGTCTCTTATTGTTCTTATTGCGAGTTGAATCACTGACTAGTTTAGCTATCGATCGAATGATATTGTTTAAAAACAATATTTAGTACTCGTTATTTCAGATTAAAATGTGCGATGAAAAACAAAATTGTGATCAAGTTAAAGATGATCAATCGGATACCAGATTATCATTGTTGGATCTTCCAATCGAGGTTTGTATTTATAATTTTTCTTTAATAATTATATATACTTATATACCTTTCACCAATCATATAGTACGCAAACGACTGATAATATGTACGTTATTCATTTTCAAAAGGTTTCCAGTATTCCATATTATTTAAATAACTTTCACCGTTCTTATTAAGTTTTCGCCAATTGCATTCAAGCACCAAAGTGTGAACATTAATTACCTTCCCTGTTTACAAACAATAGACAACTGTCATTAAAATACATTCTGGCACATTCGTATTATTAACATTTTTATGAACAATAAATGAATACGTATCTCCCAAGTAAAAGTATGAAGTTGAATAAACTCTGTCAGCAGTCAACTGTAACGTGTATTATTAAGAAACAAGTAGAACATCCCGAGAAGTTTATCGTAACGTTAGTGGAGCACAGTCGCCATTTTTAAATGCCCATTCTCGTACAACCACATTCAAACGTACGGTTCTCTGCCGATGATACATCTATGTATGTAAGAATAATATTAAATAGTTTGTTTACACAAGCCATACGTAGTTGACATATATTTTTTAAATTATCACATATTTTAAAGTATATACAACTTAAAATAACCAGAATACTTGGGCATAACAAAACAAAGCTAATACCATTTCATTATTATTATTTCAGATATTTCTCCACATCTGCTCCTTCCTAGATGCATCTACCTTAGTACGTGGCTTGAGCTTAGTGTGTAAACAATTTCATGAGATTTTAAATGATGGTTCACTATGGAAAGTCAGAATTAGCCACATGTATCCACATACAGATTTTCCAATTTTGCCTCCTGGTTAGCTCAAATTGATAGCTCTTTGAGCTTTGCATGACCAATCATTCTGTAAATAATAACAATTAGTTCTACCATACCATATTTCATGTATCAAGTCTGCTTATTTAGTTTCTAAAAAATTAACAAGAAATCTAATTTCATCCTATTTGGAATATATTATTATACATTAATAACGTTTGCTGGTATTTACAAATGTATATAATTTTTTCAGCTGATGATGATGAACTGTTTTGGAAGTTATCATGCGTTGCATTAGAAAAACAAGCTTCATTGTGGAGGAAAGATGATTCTATGGAGAAAGTGTCACTTTACAATGCACAATACAGTACCATTGATGGTCTACTATTAATGCAGGTTCGTATTTTATTTTATATAATTTTTATAAATGCATAACGAGTTAATATTTATTTCTATATCTATAGGATGGAAATGTTTGTATATCTGGAGCAAGAGACAGGACATTAGTATGCTGGAAGCTTCCCACGAAAGACAATGAAAAAGAGAATGTTACACGTATAAATAATGCTCATAATGGATGGATCTGGGACTTAACATCTATAGATGATACAGTTTACAGTTGCAGCTGGGATCAAACTGTTAAAGCATGGGGACTTACCGACTGTGGTCTTGTTCACATCAGAACTTACGAGAAGTACATGAGGACCAAAATGATCACTTTCGCTGCTCTTATTATGGGAAGGCTGAGCGAGGAAGGCATGAATTTTTATCTGTAACAAATAACTCGTTAATAATATATCATCACAAAATTAGTAATACCAAACTGCAGGTACTATTTTTTAAGGTTTCACGAAAAAAGATGAAATCAAGCAAAAATACGGCTTAGCATTTTTTGCATGCTTTCGCCCGCTCCGCCAGAGATCACTGTACAAAGCATTAGATCGTTCTGAAAGCTTATAATGTTTTATATAAGTATTAAATATTTTTTAGATTCGTTCCCGGTTCTCTGTTATGTATCACGTCATATCTTAATTTACCCCTGTTTGCTACGGGATCGTTTTGTAGAACTGTATCGGTATTTGATACAAGATTAAATTCCAATCTTATTGCAAAATACGTGCCGCATAGAAGAGCTGTTATTAAACTGGCCATGAACTCGGAGTTTATTCTATCTGCTAGCGAAGACGGAACAGTGTCCATATGGGATCAGAGAGCAGGAAAGATTATGAAAAATGTTACTGTAAGAATCCAACATAGACAACAACTCGGAAAAAGTAGCGATAACTATATTAAAATTACTTTATATTTGATACAACCTTAATGATTCAAGTATATGCATTACAGATTTCACAAGAATCATTCCCCCAGAGTATATGTATGCAGAGAGATATAGTGTATGTAGGAGATAATGGTGCAAAGTTACACATATTAGATCCAAAACAAGATTTTGAAGTAGTTAAATGTTTCTCTACTAAACATAAAAAAGGTATAAATGGTATACGTGTTGCACCAGGATGTTTGATCACAAGTTCCACAGACGAGACAGTTAGAATATCCAGTCCTACAGATCCTCCACAACTCCTTGACACCTTGGAATCTAGTTATGGCGAAATAGCTGGTGTAAGTGTTTAGGATTACACAGATTTATGTAAGATATATTTATAAAACACATTTTAATTCACAGATCGACTATTCGAACAATGTTTTGGCTTATTCTGGTACAGATGGGATCGAAATTTGGAGACCGAAGTGACGCTACAATACATTGTATACTATTTAAATTTTAATAAGAAATTTAATAAATGCTTTGCTAATTATACTGTTAAATCAATTACTTATCTCGAGACCTTGAAAGAAATTCTGTTAATTCATCATATTTAAAACCCTATATCATTTACGTTTGTTTTAATATTGATTATCCAGATTATTGGGTCGTTACTAGAATTTAAAATTTTTTTGAAGATAAAAACAAAGAATTAATACAAATTACTTCGATTACTTTCTTATTACTTCGATTTATTTTCGAGGAACTTCTTCAATCTCATTGGCGATGCAAAGTGTATTCAGACTTTTGTTCACGATATTTCGTTATAAGAAATTTAGTTGTACATATTACAAACGTATCTTCACTTTTTCCAATGACCCAATAGTATATCCAGTACAATTCAAATTCATCCAAATCCGAGTTCGAGGCAATAAGCCGATCGATGTCTCTGCCATCGCCGGAAGTGTTCGTCTGCTAAGCCTCGAAAAACATTCAATTGTCTATCCGTATGAATTACGCGAAAATGTTTTATCGTCCCGGAATGATGCTAAATATCCACGAAATAATCCTCGAATATTAAACTCGTGTCAAATGGTGCGGCTGAATCGAAAGCAGCCCAAGTATCCTGATATTGTTAGCCGGTATCCAAATGCTTTCGTGGCGCGGTGGTGGGGGTAACTGTGGGGAGCTTCCGTTTATCTGCGAGGTCAGAGAAGGCTGGCTGCGTTCAGTGGTGCTGTTGAAAAACACGATGAAAATGGCGTGGCAACCGCAAGAGGAAGGACTTAGACAAATCTTAACGCTCCTGAAGGAGTCTCAGAGCCCAGATACGGCTACTCAACGGGCTGTGCAACAAGTATCCTTTCTCTGTCGCATCGAAATAGTTTCGTGCTGTGAAAATACGCTCGTCAGGCTCATTCCCGGTGAGTAGACCCGCGACGCGGTAACACACAAGTGAAGCGGGTGGATAGGTCGATCGAGGGGCCGTGCTTTTCACCATGGAAGCTCCCCATTTCGAACACGATTCCTAGATTTCATGAGTAAAAATCTGCGGATTCATGTTGAAAATTATTCCAAGGCTACCGAGCCAGTCCGTTCAGTCCAGGGGTACGGAAACGTTCGGCGCGCTTTTGCGCAGCCTGTCACGGACCCCCCTTTTTTGCCGTCTGTGATTCGATTGAAAAGCTGTTAGGACACCATATCATGACAAACACGAATTTCATATGAAGACGAACATATTATTTCACGGTGATTTTCGTGGATTCTCGGTGGAACTTATCTTTTGGTTCGATAATAGGGCTGGTGGGAAAGGACCGACGAAAGTTCGTCGCTTTTTCTCGAATAACACGTGAGCTGTACTCAAGCGCCAAGAAATATGTTAATGATACCCGCGGTTGCTGTCGCGGATCGCGTCCGAAATGTCGTTATCGCTCCAACGAGTTTGTTTTTCTTGACTGTATTAATCGATAAATTTTGCGTGTAGTCACGGCCGTAATGTTAATTAAACGGGCTCCGGGAAACGATGCGCGCAAACGGACGCTGATGGAAGTGTGTTTGTCGCAACTACAGCTGGCACAAGAATGTACAGTTGGGGAAACTTTAATTTTTTCCACGCAAACTTTTTTCCCTCTCTCATTGTATTCGTATTGTATTTGTGTATGTAACGTTTAACTACGAATCTTGTGGTTATATAAATATATATGTTTTTAGAGATTTATTGACATACAACTTTCGTGCCATGTTATTGAGATTATTTTTTTGTATCTGATACATTGTATATTAATAACTTTGTCTCTTTATTACATAATAGCAAAAATTGTGACGGATAATTATAGTTGTTATATAAATGAACAATTTTTTTTCCATTTGCAAAACACATAAGCTATTACTAAGTTTTGCATCCATTTCTTTAAACATTTTTCCTTAACGATTCTCTCTCAGAAATTGGAGGAATTAAATAAGTTTCCAGACTTCAACAATTATCTTATTTTTGTTTTAACAAAACTCACATCAGAGGGTATGTATTTCAAACATGAATTTGATAATGTATTATGTATGTAGGATTTATTGATTATTATGTGTGTTTTATTTCAAGATGAAGCCACGAGGTCTCTTAGTGGACTGATATTGAAGAATAATGTTAAAGCTCATTTTCATAAGTTTTTACCAGAAGTTACAAATTTTATCAAGCAAGAATGTTTGTCAGCAGTTGGCGATCCATCACCTCTGATCCGTGCAACTGTTGGCATTTTAATAACTACTGTTGCATCCAAAGGTACATATTTTTAATAATAAAATGATTGTCACGGATATATTCAATATTAACATTACTTTTATTTCTGAATAGGTGAATTGACCACATGGCCAGAGTTGTTGCCTGCACTTTGTCAAATGTTGGATTCACAAGATTTAAATGTTTGTGAAGGTTCATTTGGCGCTCTTCAAAAAATTTGTGAAGATTCTGCAGAAGTTTTAGATTCGGATGCACTTAATCGACCTTTAAATGTTTTGATCCCAAAGTTCCTGCAATTTTTCAGACATTCAAGCCCCAAAATTAGATCACATGCCATTGCCTGTGTTAATCAGTTCATTGTTCATCGCACACAGGCCCTTATGATTCATATAGATAGCTTCCTGGAGAACCTCTTCCATTTAGCTAATGATGACGATCCCGAAGTTAGGAAAAATGTTTGCAGGTATTGTTATATATCTTACTTCCTATTATAAGTATTATGAAGAGATTACAGCGTGTAATTTTATTTGTTACAGAGCTTTGGTTATGTTGCTTGAAGTCCGAATGGATAGATTAATACCACATATGCACAATATAATAGAATATATGTTATTGAGGACCCAGGATCCAGAGGAAGGTGTTGCTTTAGAAGCTTGTGAATTTTGGCTTTCATTAGCAGAGCAGCCAATTTGTAAAGAAGCACTTGCACCACATTTAACTCGTTTAGTACCTATACTAGTAAGTGATCATTATAAAAGGAAATGGTCCAAGATGTGACAAACTGTATGCATAAATCTATAATACACTTTTATAGGTAAGAGGTATGAAATACTCTGAAATTGACATAATACTCCTGAAAGGAGACGTAGAAGAAGATGAAATGATCCCAGACAGGGAAGAAGATATCAGACCAAGATTTCACAAGTCAAAAACACACCATACGCATCATGCTAATATGAATAAACATGGAGATGAGAATGGTGGTTGTGACGAAGAGGACATTGATGCAGAAGATGGATGTGACGACGATTCAACGCTTAGTGATTGGAATTTGAGAAAATGTTCAGCTGCTGCACTGGATATGTTAGCAAATGTCTTTAGAGAAGAATTGTTACCTGTTCTAATACCAATTTTAAAGGAAACACTTTTTCATCAAGATTGGGAGATAAAAGAATCTGGAATATTGGCACTCGGAGCTATCGCAGAAGGTAATTATTTCTCAATGATTTTTGCAGTATATTGTTGACTTGTACAATACAAGTTCTGAATTACTATTACAGGTTGTATGTGTGGAATGATTCCTCATTTGTCTGAATTAATTCCATATCTGATTAATTGTTTGAGTGACAAAAAAGCGCTCGTACGCGCTATTACATGCTGGACATTAAGTCGTTACGCACATTGGGTTTGTGCGCAGCCACATGACACACATTTGAAGCCTTTAATGACTGAATTACTCAAAAGAATACTTGATGGCAATAAACGCGTTCAAGAAGCTGCGTGTTCTGCATTTGCAACGCTAGAAGAAGAAGCATGCACAGAATTGGTCCCTTACCTTGGATTTATTCTTGAAACACTTGTTTTCGCCTTTGGTAAGTATAACGACATAAACGTACCGTTAAAACTTTGCTCTCGATATACTAATTGCAGTGTGTTCTTAGGCAAATACCAACACAAAAATCTTTTAATATTGTACGACGCAATTGGTACGCTTGCTGATTCAGTGGGTCATCATCTTAATAAACCGGATTATATTAACCTTCTTATGCCGCCATTAATTAATAAGTGGAATGTATTAAAAGACGAAGACAAAGATCTTTTTCCATTATTAGAATGTCTTTCCTCCGTTGCAACTGCATTGCGATCAGGTTTCCTTCCTTATTGCGAACCCGTGTACAGGTAAATTATCTCGCCGATAATTCAGAATTCGTATTTCGGAGTATTTATAATGCTTATATGTAATTATTTTTCAATAGGCGGTGTGTATCCCTCGTAGAGCAGACGCTAAATCAACATATAGCAAATACCCAGAGTCCAGAACAGTTTGAGGCTCCTGACAAAGACTTTATGATTGTTGCGTTAGATCTTCTTAGCGGCTTGGCGGAAGGATTGGACGGCCACATGGAACGCTTGGTAGTGAACAGCAATGTAATGCAACTGTTGTATCAAAGTATGCAAGATTGTATGCCCGAAGTTAGACAAAGCAGTTTCGCCTTGGTAGGAGACCTTACAAAGGCTTGCTTCCAACATGTTCTCCCATGTATACGTGAGTACTATATGCTAGATGCACAACTAATTTGTATCTTATGAAATCATAATAGCTTGTAAAGGTAAACTAACTTTACACTTTATTTCGCTGTAGCGGAATTTATGCCTATACTTGGACAGAACTTAAATCCTGAATTCATATCAGTATGTAATAACGCAACATGGGCTATCGGTGAAATAGCTATAAAACTCGGTAAATATTTACCTTTTACCTGGAAACCTGACATTAATTTCCGCTTACCACGATAACATACTTTGTTTTTCTTAGGATCTGAAACAAGCGCATATGTTCCACTAGTTTTGAATCAACTGATTGAAATAATCAATAGACCGAATACGCCGAAAACACTGTTAGAAAATACGGGTGAGTAGTTGTACAATATTTCCAACACATATAGTCTCTTTTACACAGTATAGCGTATGGAGCATACTTTTAAATGGTAGGGAGGTAATGAGTAGTAAAGTTTCATTTCTTCAGTACTGCGAT